CAATACATAGATTGTACTTCGTACAAGTATAAATAATTTGCCAATACACACATTGTTTAAAATTAAGTGGAAAAAAATATTACATGTACGGCCAAATATATGCCACACCTACTGTAGTACTATGTTGATAAACTTTGGAGTTACTTTACATGTACGACCTGACATGTCACACGGAGTAGTACTATATAAGCTCATTGCTATCCAATTAATTCCAAGCACAAAACTTAAAATGAATAGAGTAGAATTTAAATATTTTCTTGCTCCTTAAAAAGCGATAATAAAATGCCGTAATACTCCCTCGTAATTTACTACTAATTAAATTTCAATAAATATTGAACTCGTAATTTTTAAAGTATAATTAATTATGTGCGAAAACATTAAACATTGAACAAATAAAATTGGTCGTGGTCAACGGACGATTAGGTGGGGAGCCTTAACTAAGGATAAAGCCCAGGAGTTGGAGGGGAGGTTATTGGCTATGGGAGCATGGAGGAGTAGTGAAGACGCTAGCGCTATGTGGGCTACGACGGCGAACTGCGTTAGGAAGGCGGCGAGAGAAGTGCTAGGGATTACGAAGGGTCACTCTGGCAGGCACCAAGGCGACTGGTGGTGGAATGTCATAGTCCAAGGCAAAGTGGAGGCGAAGAAGGAAGCGTATATGAAGTTGGTAAGGAGCACATGCGAGGAGGAGAGGAGAGCGAATAGAGAGAGGTACAAGGTAGCGAGAAAGGAGGCTAAGAATGCAGCGTTTGGCCGACTTTATGAGGAATTGGGGGAAAAAGGCAGGGATAACAAGTTGTTTCGATTGTCTAAAGCGAGGGAGAGGAAGGCTCGGGATCTGGATCAAGTAAGGTGCATCAAAGACGAGGACGGTAGAGTCTTGATGGGGGAGTCCTAGATTAAACAGAGATGGCAGAGGTACTTCCAGGGTCTTCTAAATGAGGAAGGGGACCGCGATATAGTGCTAGGGGATCTGGGGCATTCGGAGAGTCTCCGAGACTTTGGGTATTGTAGGCGTATTAAGTTGGAGGAGGTCGTGTGGGCTATGCGTAAGATGAGTCGGGGCAGAGCGATCGGGCCAGATGAAATTCCGGTTGAGTTCTGGAAGTATGTGGGTAGAGTAGGCTTGAAGTGGTTGACTGGGCTATTTAATGTTATTTTCAGGACGAAGAGGATGCCAGATGAGTTGAGGTGGAGTACAATGGTTCCATTGTACAAGAACAAAGGTGATATCCAGTGTTGTAACAACTATAGGGGTATCAAGTTACTAAGTCATACCATGAAAGTTTGGGAGAGGGTGGTGGAGGCGAGGGTGAGGAAGATAGTGTCTATATCTAACAACCAGTTCGGGTTCATGCCGGGTCGCTCCACCACGGAAGCTATCCACCTTATTAGTAGGTTGGTGGAACAGTACAGGGATAGGAAGAAAGATCTGCACGTGGTGTTTATTTACTTGGAGAAAGCGTATGACAAGGTCCCTAGGGAGGTGCTATGGAGATGTCTAGAGGTAAAAGGTGTGCCGCTAGCTTATGTTAGAGCGATCAAGGACATGTATGATGGAGCTAAGACTAGGGTAAGGACGGTGGGAGGCGACTCAGAGCATTTTCCGGTTGTTATGGGGTTACATCAAGGATCAGCGCTTAGCCCGTTCTTATTTGCCTTAGTAATAGATGCACTAACACACCATATTCAAGGGGAAGTGCCATGGTGTATGCTATTCGCTGATGACATAGTACTGATTGATGAGACGTGAGACGGTGTTAATGAGAGGTTGGAGGTTTGGAGACAGGCTCTCGAGTCTAAGGGTTTCAAACTGAGCAGGACTAAGACAGAGTACCTGGAGTGCAAATTCAGCGCCGAGTCGAGGGAAGCAGGTGTCACGACCCAATTTCCAAACCCGATCGTGATGGCGCCTCTCGTGAAGACAAGGCCATCCAACTAACCCACATCGTCTCTTTAACAATTTTTAAACATAATGAATAGAAAATACAACTTAAATTACATTGGTTAACAATATCTACAACCCAACTCAGCCCGACCGGTGTGTCACAAGTCACGAGCATCTAAAGAAGACTGAACACAACTACATGGCCAATAATAATATACAAAATAAAATTCTGGGATTAAAGTACGAAGTCCGGCGCCGCGAACGCTGGCGGTCACCTTGCTCAGCTACAATAGTAAAATCCTTAATCGGCTCAAACCCGCTACCGGGTAACAAATACCTGCAACTGCACGTGAGGTGCAGGGAGTAAATTGAGTACTCCAACTCAGTGAGCAATAAGAGTAAATAAAGAAATCACGTAAAAATACTTCATCATGCTATATGGGACAGTGCAAATCCTTGAGAAAATCAGTAATTCCGTGAAAATCCTTTAGAAAATAGATGGCTTAGTTAAAACCTCTTTTGAAAATACCCTTTTCCAACAGTTAAGCAAATGAATGCGTAATCAGATAGTGCAAGTCCGCACATAAGTCGGCCCCTCGGGCACAGCACTCCATTAACAAATAACACCAGGGTTTCTGGTAAACAGTGCAAGAAATAGCATGGATGCCAATGATATGAGAGTGCTGAATGTCATGCCACGTAGTACAAACAGGAACCAATGCATGAATGCGATGCAATGCACATGACCGATACACTCAGGTACCCACTGCGGCGTGCAGTCCGAGCCAACCATATTTAACGTCGACGGCGCTCACTGGGGGTGTGTACAGACTCCGGAGGGGCTCCTACAGCCCAAGCGCAATATCAAGCCATCTCGTGGCATCAATAAATCCCTGGTCAGTCATTGTTACCTGACCGGTCAGTCATTGTTACCTGACCAATACAGTGTCATTGTTACCACTGTTTCAAGTCACATCATACAGTGTCATTGTTACCACTGTTTCAAGTGACATCATACAGTGTCATTGTTACCACTGTTTCAAATCACTGCTCCGGCGCGCAGCCCGATCCATGCTCAGTCCAGAAATGCACATAATCCACTTGGGCAATATTAAAATAATGGTTCTCAGCTCAAAACGTCAATAAAATATTGTTTAAGTTTTCAAATCTTAGAAAAATGGCTGAGTTTGCAAAACCGTATTAAAACCCTGGACCGAGATCAAATGATATGCAAAGTAATGCAAGAACAGTGATACCAATCCCCGAAGGATTCAAATAATGGGCACGAAGCCCAGCATATGGCTATCAGCCCAAATCATGATAGCATCAAGTAAGTTTCAGTCAATTACGCAGTAAAATCAACAACCGGGACGGACCAAGTCACAATCCCCAACGGTGCTCTACCCCACGCTCATATCCAGCGTGCAAGTCACCTCAATACAGCACTATGATGTGCAAATCCGGGGTTTCAAACCCTCATCATTTACAAGTATTACTCACCTCGAACCGGCGAAATCTCTAGCTCGCGACGCCTTTGCCCCTCAAATCGGCCTCCACGCGTGTCGAATCTAACCATAATCAGAGCGAATACATCACACTATGCCACGGGAACAATTCCCAATCGAAAATAATCAAAATATAGCAAAAATCTCGAAACTAGTAAAACCCGAGCCCCGGGACCGCTTCCTGAAAAATTACAAAACTCACATTACCGGATTCCTCGTCTCGCCACGAGTCCATACATATCAAGAACTCCCAAATCCGAGCTCAAATGACCTATCAAATCCCAATTTGAAATATCAAAACTCAAGCCCTAGCTTTACCCCTTTTTAATCAAATTCCATGAATTTAGGTGTTGAAATCACAATTAGATGATGTTTCTAGGCCATAGGACTTACCTCCAATTGATTCCCAGTCAAAACCCTCTTAAAATATCGTCAAAAGCTCCCAAGGTCGCTTCATAATGGAGGAAAATAAACTTGGCTCGCGGATGAAATATTATTAAAACCCTTCTGCCTAGCTGACGAATCCTTCTTCGCGAACGCTATGGCCCTCTCGCGTTCGCGATGGCCAAAAATCCACTGGGCCACTTTTACTCTACGCGAATGCGGAGCCCGTCCCGCGAACGCGATGCTCTGCCTGGCCCAACTACGCGAACGCGTACCCCTGGTCGCGAACGCGAAGAGCAATGACCAGGGGCCCCCAAACTCCCTTTACGCGAACGTGGAGTCCCAACTGTGAACGCGAAGACCAACGACCTCAGACCTACGCGAACGCGGCCGATGCCTTGCGAACGCGAAGGCCAAAATTGGCCTGCAACTGCTGTGAAAAATCTACAACTCCTCAACTCCTCGAAACTCTCCGTTAGCTATCCGAATTCACCCCGAGGCCCCCGGGACCTCAACCAAAAGCACCAACATATCCCAAAACATCATACGAACTAGTTCCAATCTTCAAAACACATCGAACAACGCTAAAACCATTAAATCACATCGGATTCAAGCCTAAGTTTCTTCAAAACTTCCGAAACACACATTCGATCAAAAACCCAACCAAACGACGTCCAAATGACCTGAAATTTTGCACACACATCACAAATCACATATCGAAGCTACATCAACTCTCGGAATTCCATTCCGACCCTCGGATCAAAATCTCACCTATCAACCGGAATTCGCCAAAATACTAACTTCGCCAATTCAAGCCTAATTCTACACTGGACCTCCAAACTCGATTCCGATCGCACTCCTAAGTCACAAATCACTTCCTGAAGCAAATCGAATCACCGTAAATCACATCCGAACCTTCTAACTCATAAGTCAACGTCCGGTTGACTTTTCTAACTTAAGCCTTCCTTAAGGAGACTAAATGTCTCATTTCTTATGAAAATCCACCACATACCGATAACGAAACATGAACAAGCAATAAACGGAGAAAACGGAGCAGTAACACATGAGACGACGGGTCGGGTCATTACAGCAGGCATGGATGTGAGGCTTGGATCACAGGTCATCCCCAAAAGAAGTAGTTTCAAGTACCTTGGGTCGGTTATTCAAGGGGATGGAGAGATTGACAAGGACACCACTCACCGCATAGGAGTGGGGTGGACGAAATGGAGGCTAGCATCTGGAGTCTTATGTGGCAAGAAAGTACCACTGTTACTCAAAGGTAAGTTTTATAGGACGGTGGTTAGACCGGCCATGTTGTATGGGGCAGAGTGTTGGCCATATAAGAACTCTCATATCCAGAAGATGAAGGTAGCTGAGATGAGGATGTTGAGGTGGATGTGCGGGCACACTAGCTTAGATAAGATCAAGAATGACGATATTCGGGACAAGGTGGGTGTGGCCTCTGTGGATGACAAGATGCGGGAAGCGAAGCTCAGATGGTTCGAGCACGTGCGGAGGAGAAGCCTGGATGCTCCGGTGAGGAGGTGTGAGCTGCTGGCTTTAGTGGGTTCGAGAAGAGGTAGAGGACGGCCTAAGAAGTATTGGGGAGACGTGATCAGGCAGGACCTGGCGAGATTGCAGATTTTCGAGGACATGGCCTTTGATAGGAAGGTTTGGAGGCCGAGCAGTACGGTTGTAGGATAGGGTGGTAGTCGAGCTTCTCCCCCTCCATTCCGGGGGGGGGGGGGGGGAGGCGAGCGGTAGTTTGGNNGGGGGGGGGGGGGGGGGGGGGGGGAGCGAGTTTGAGTGGGTTGGTCCTAGGCAGGCTTGTGGTTAATGTAGAGTTCACACTAACCTTACTGTTTCCCATTGATCTAGTCCTTAGTCGTGGGTTATGGTTATTGCATGTCATCTATTTTATGGTTTTAGGATGCTGTCATTATTTCTATGGCTATGTTGACGTTACTGATGAATTGTCTTTTCTTGTTTTTTTGTTTTATATTTTTCCTGAGCCGAGGGTCTATCGGAAACAGCCTCTCTGCCCCATCGGGGTAGGGGTAAGGTATGCGTACACACTATCCTCCACAGACCCCACTTAGTGGGACTTTACTGGGTCCTTGTTGTTGTTGTTAATGTTTGTGTACAACAAATATGATGGATAGAACATGAGCAAAAGCTGTTGGGAGTTATTTACTCCCTCCGTTCCAGTTTATGTGAACCTATTTCTTTTTTGGTATGTTCTAAAAAGAATGACCTCTTTCAAAATTTGGAAATAATTTAACTTAAACATCCAATTCTACCCTTAATGAGAAGCTTTTATAACCACAAAAATACTGTAGACTCCTTTTTGACTTGTTTAGGACCACAAATTCAAAAAATCTTCATTTTTTCTTAAACTCAGAGGGAGTATCATTATAGAAGTTTTAGAGTAAATTAATTATGTTTTTTACTATTCTACCCTTAATATTAATTGCTCTTGAAGAATACAAATACCTTAATTATGAGTAAGTATTAAATGAAAAGAGATTATATCTTAAGACATAAATAAGGACAAAATAATCAAAAACTTTCCTATTTAATGTTTTTTTTAAGAGACGTATAAAAGAAAAGCACCACAATAATTTATCACAAATGGAATACCAACAAGAGTAAATGCACTTTTGCTTGAATGGGTAAAACGTGACTATTGACACTCCATTATTGAATGAACCGAAATAGACAAGGTTGTACGTTTCGGACCATTTAGACCATTTATGGAGCTCTCTTGAATCTTGAATGCCATGTTTTCTGTCTTTTACTATGTTTCTTGCTCCCCTCCTGTTCAAAATAAGTAATTTTTTGAATGTTTTTACAAAAGTTAAGAAATCCATCTTTTAACATTAATTAACAATAAAATAGACCATATTAACCTTTATTATCTCATATAAATATTCCTAACACATACTCTAACATTATTTACTCCAAGGGCAATGTAGGAAAAAATTCATTCTTAAAATCTAAAAAAGTCACTTATTTTGGATCATAAAAAAAGGCCAAAAAATTCATTTTTTTTGAATTGGAGGAAGTAATGTTTTGGCATTCTGCTGTTTTTCGAATTAATGGAATGTTGAGAGTGCAAAAAACATTGAAAAATTGAGGTTGCAAACGGCTAACACTACTAAAATCACATCTTTCAGAAAGTGCTCAGAATTTTGGGCAATGAATTGCTGGTTAATTGTTTTGTTGGAGGCATATAGGGTTCAGATAATGGGAAGGAGCACGTGTCCCAATAAAGGTGCCAACAAATTAAAAGTGGGGCCCTTAGATTTTATGGTTAAATGGGGTACTTTTAGACCAAAAGATAAGGTTGTATATATTATTATCGTATTAATGGGTGGACGGAAGGTAAAAATAAACTATTTAACACGTGATAGGAGTACCCCTTTCCATATGATTATGAGATTTTTATGTACATGATGTTGTTCTTATATATGGTTATGTACAAGATGTTATACATGATTTTTATGTACATTAAGGGATCATGTATTCCTTTTGCTGATATCTTCACATTACTTTCACTAAAACTAAGCAAAAGTAAATGTCATATACCTATATAACATAAAAGGACACTAATTTCAGTTCCTATTATTTATGACACATTCAATTTATTCCAAAATATTTGAAAATAGAAAGTATTTATTATTGTACCTTTTTCAAATTCACCCTATGTGTTCTAACTTGTGAAATGTTAATTAAGTTATCAGAGGTTTGAGATAAAGATAAAGTGCAGTTATACTCTTATAGTCAAGGCTATCAGAATTGAGAGGTAATAAAAATATAAGAACTTAGTGGGCGTTTGGACATAAGAACTGTAAAATTTTAAAACAGGGGGAAAAAAAATTTCAAGTGAAAATGGTATTTGAAATTTAGAGTTGTGTTTGGACATGAATATAATCTTGGGTTGTTTTTGAGGTTTTGTGAGTGATTTGAGTGAAATTTTTGAAAACCAGCTTTCTGGAGTTCTTCAAATTTTCGAAAATTTTCAAAATTCATCTTCAAGTGAAAATTCAATATTTTATTAACAAACACTGATTTCAGAAAAAAGTGAAGAATTTGAAAAAAAGAGAAAAATTTATTATGTCCAGACGGGCTCTTAATAACACGATTGTTCTTACACCACATATCTTGAATCAGTCCAATATAATGTTGGAATCATCCCATAAAGTTAATGAGTTAGCGGATCTTTTAACCAAATAAATTTACACTGAAATTTGTTTGACCTTTTCTATTTAGATAGGGCAAAATGTCTAATCTTCTTCCTAAACTATATGAAAATAGGGACGGATGCACATGGGGAGGGGCGGGTTCACGTGAATCCATCCTCCTCCCCCGAAATCATGTGTAGCACTAGTAAATTTTAGCGTAAATACTTAAATTAATATCGGTGCACCCAAACTCAACTGAACACTTTAGTGGATTGGTAAGGAGGTGCACATTCTACCTTTTAATCAGGGGTTCGATCGTACTTTTTCTTCTTAAAAATCATATTTTAATTAATAAGGGTTAAAATTCCCATGCTCTGCCGCTTTTTCTAATTAAATACACCTTTTGTTTCTTTTTTCCCTTTTATATTGGATACACATTTTTTTCCTTCTCTTTTTTAGTCTTTGTTTTGACGTTTCAAATTCCTAAATCAAAAATACATCTCTCAAACACTCTCTCGAAAACTCAAATCTCTGGTGATCATAATGTACCCATGCTTTTGAAATCCTGGGTACATGTAACGATCCGGCTGGTCGTTTTGAGAGTATTAGCCCTGATCCCCTATTTATTGCTTTTCCCCTATCATTTTATGCTTATATGACTTGCCAGGAGGTTTTGTTTTTGGTTTTAGAGTAATTTGGGACACTTAGTCCCTAAAACGGAAGCTTAAGTTCTCGGATTTTGATCGTAGTTGGAACTGTGTGAAGATGACTCCATAATGGAGTTTCATCGGTTTCGTTAGCTCCGTTGGATGATTTTAGAAGTAGGAGCGTGTACGAATTGTGAATTGGAGGTCTGTAGCTGAATTAGGCTTGAAATGGCGAAAGTTGATTATTTGAGAAGTTTGACCGAAAGTGGACTCAATGCGGATCGGAAGGTTGGCGATGTCGCATTCATGGTTGCAGAGTGGGTCTTGCTTTGGGTTTCGCCCATAAAGGGCGTTATGAGGTTCGAAAAGAAGGACAAGCTGAGCCCAAGGTTTATTGGCCTATTCGAGGTGTTGTGGCAAGTTGGGGAGGTTACTTATGAGCTTTCCTTGCCTCCCAGTCTAGCAGGAGTTCATCCAGTATTCCATGTTTCTATGCTCAGGAAATATCACATCGATTCGTCCCCTGTCACAACCCAAAATCCACTAAGGGTCATGATGGCGCCGGACACCGCTTCCAGGCAAGCCAACTAAATTACTGATTTAAAATCCACTTTTAAAATACATCAAATTCCGGAAATTTCCTTCCATTTTTCATAAACAAAATGTTTTTTTTTTTGCTTCAATTCAAATCAACAATAACAATTAAATCAAATCTTTCAAAAAATCATCCCAGAACCCGGTGTCACAAGTGCATGAGCGACTACTGATAAGTGAAATAAAATACAACCTCTGCCCGGAATACAGTGGACAAGGAATAAATAATTAAAGTACATAAAGGAACTACACTAGCTGTGGGTCGCCTCGCAAATTGCAGCTCACCTAGTCCCAGAGTTATCCATGCTGCTACGCCAGTAGGCTGCTAGAAGTGTACATGTACCTGTGCAACAAAAATGCACAGAAGTGTAGTATGAGTACGTAATCAACATGTACTCAGTGAGTATCCCGCCTAATCCCGAAGGGGTAGAGACGAGATGGCCAACTTCGACACTCACTAGAGGTCAATTATCAATATTCTATAAGTGCGAGAGAAATCATGGATTTATATAGAAGTCCTAACTGAGAGGCCAAATAAACAGGTAAACACCTTCCACAATAAATCAAGGGCTTCCAAAGTCTATTCTTTATTATCTTATTAGTTTATCTCAAGCCACATAGGGCCAATTCCACGTTTACAATTTTCAAGTAACAAATAAACATGCGCAAATCACACCGAGGCGACGGCCCGCTCCAACAGGAATGTAAACTGTGCACTGCCGAGGGTCGAGCGACACGAACCATAGATGCATCTATTTTAACTGAGACGTTCGGCCCGTTCCATAAATAAACACATATCCTGCTCGCAAATCATCCATGCGACGCAGGCACGCATAAAGTACATGTTCAAGTAGGAAATTAAGAGCTCATCGAGGATAATCCTCAAAGTAGACAACTTTTCTCTTTTTAAAATTTCAGGGAAAATTACTATTAAATCTCTTCTTAAATTCCTTTACCAATTCAAGATGATCTAAACGTTTCAAACTATCAATGAGTTCACAGTAATCCAAGTATAACATGCTTTCGAGTCCTAGACTACCCGGACAATAGCATAATAGTAGCTACGCACGGACTCTCGTCACCTCGTGCGTGCGTAGCCCCCACAAATAGGAGCACATAACCATTTTACTCACCTATGGGGTAAATTTCCCCTCACAAGATTAGAAAGGATACTCACCTCGCTCCGAGGACTCATAGCCGGCATTTTACATTCTTCCGAAGGCTTGAACCAACGCACATTGCTCCAAAACTAGCCAATTAATGACAAACTAATGAGAAT